AAGATCATCCAGCAGCAGATGCAACAGTAAATTGACAGAGAGCTGCCAGAAGTTCAGGTTGGATTCAAAAGGGCATGGAACAATGGATAGATCATCATTGATGTCAGGTGATCTTGGTTCAAAGCAGAGATTACCCCAGGAAGGTGTTTGTGTTTCATTGTCTATGCCAAGTATATGACTGCGTGGATCATAACACACTTTGGACAGCTTTGAGAAGAATGAGAATAACAGAACCCTTTAATACGCTCCTGAGGAATTTGCGCCTGGATCAAGGGAATACCACAAAGATTAAATTCAGGAAAGGTGTGCAGCAGGGTTGTATCCTCTCATCATATTCATTCAATCTGTATGCTGAGCAAATGCTCAGTGAAGATGGATAACATGAGTAAGAATGTGGCATCAAGATTGGAGGGAGGCTTATTAACAACTTTATATGTGCAGATAACACAACCTTGCTTGCTGAAATGGAGGACGTGAGGCACTGGCTGATGAAGGTCCTGGACTGTAGCCTTCCGTATAGATTACAACTCACTGTCAAGATCCAAATCCTCACAACTAGACTCATATACAACATCATGATAAATGGAGGAAAGATTGAAGCTTGTGTTTCCTTCTGTTATGCATAATAGCATCACTATGGGTCAGAGCTGACGCAAAGGCTCCTAACAATAACATGAAAAAATTTGGCAGAGAGAACAGAATATTAAGTAGAAGGGATAGCAAAAGTGAGGCACACAAGGAAAAGCTGTGTTTAGGAGACAACAAGAGGAGGAAATTATCTGGGATCAATCTCCAAACTCAAATCAAACTCATTCCCATGGGGTCAATTCCAACTCATAGCAACCTAGAGTTCAACAAGCAATAGAAGCCAGGAAGAGATGGAGCTAGCTGCAGAGGGTCTTGGCAACCCCTTTCATATCACTACTCCATGAGTCTGAACCCCTCATCCTTCCCAACCCTCCCCCCATCACCCTGGACATCCCACTTCCTTTTGTTCTTCCGTGACCCCCATCTCTTATTCTAACACGATTATTCTTTCTCCTCCTAAAACTATGTGTTGTGACCTTTTTGTATTCTACTTGGTGAGAACTTGAAGACAGAACTTTCTTGAGACCCTTCCAGAGTATCTCTGACTCTTTGCAGCCACCTTCCTACACACAACAGAGAAAAACAATTCTTCCTGCTGCTAGACTCAACAAATTGTTTCAAGCCGGAGTACAGCATGAGTAACAAAGTATGTTTATGCTGAGTCAAACTGGAAAAACATTGCAAGGGTCAAATTTCTAGCTGGAAAGGATCAAGTGAAGAGAATACCAGAGAGTACTATTTCAACGAAGGTAATAAATGGGTAAAATGGATTCACTACCAATACATATGCAATCAGGCCAATATAAAATAAAATAACTTAAATGGCAAAGTACAAAAGTCCAGCTCTCAGAAGAGATTAAGATGACATCCCACAGAATCAAGTCATATATCAAAACACAGTTGGCCAAAGCTAAGAAATAGTCAACATTAATAAGAAGCTTTCTGCGAAATGAATATCTTATAAAGAATTTTAAAAATCCCTATATCTTATATAAAGTAGAAGTACTATATGTACTAGCTGATGACGGAGTTTGTTCCCTGTGTCACTGCTTGGGGTTGTGCACTGCCTTTAAAAGAATGGAAAAGAAAAATCAACCCCTCATTAGAGCACCCAAACCTTTTTAAAAGTTTACTGCAAAACATGCTGAAGGCTAGTTTTGCTTTTTGCTTGTTTGCGGTTTTGTCTTTTTTGTAAAAGTAAAAATTCTCTTTGGAGTTTTTCGGTTGTCAAAAACATTTTTGTTTTGTTTTGTTTCATTGATGTAGGCCCTTCATAAAAATGAAGTAATGTTAATAAACTTTTGACAAGTGGAGGTGACCTGCATACACTTCCATGGGACCGTGCCATTCATTATCACTGTAGTCCAATAGGCTAGGAACCTCAAGGCTGGCCATTCAGATCCACTCAGTCACCTGGACAGGAAGACCTCGTGATCTACGTGTGGAAGACCCAGGCTACTGGAAACACTCTGAAAGAGCAGGCCTACTGTAGCC